CTCTGGTCCCTCCCCTGTTTTTCAAACTTTGGACGCTTGGTCAATCTCCGATGTTGTTCCTCAGGACATCATACGGGGCTTGCACCAATGGAGTGGCCAACTCCAATGACTTTGTGCCAGCCACATGCGACAGCTTCAGGAGATTCGCCAGCATCTTGCTTGGGATGAGGACCGACTTCAGCGGCATTCGTTCAATGCTTTCCAGTGCCCTGTGTGATGGCCGCTGTGTTGCCACAGCGGCTTGGTTCACTCTGTCCAGGAAGTCTGCAAGCGGAGTCCTGCAAAGGTCATAGAGGTCGCGATGACTCAGCATCGTGTTGACCTTCACCCACTTGTGCCCGGAATTCTGGTCGAGCGGCTTTGTTGAGACCCCATCCACATTGGCCATCCCGTGTGGCAGGAGCTCGGGTTTGCCAATGCGTTGAGGGCCATGGATCTCTAGTGTATCGTGGCAGAAAGACGGCAAGACGAAGCCGAAATTGATGTGGTTTACGTTTCTCCGCTTGCCTTCCTGCAGGGGCATTGCTTGAACAGTGTTTGCAATAGTTAGAACAAACGTACAGGGACATGCAGCTTTTCACACGCCCCAACCCCATGCACTTTCCCAAACCTGTCCTGAAATTTCTGGTTTATCAGCGTCGTGTCTTTTGCCAGCGTGAAAAAGTGGCCCGCGACGCTGGAGTCCAGCTGCAACCCAGCCTCTTCTACCAGTTCCCTTAAGGCGGCATTCTTGGCCGCATCTTCCTGCCAGTTTCCACCATGCCTGTAGACAAGATCTGCTGGAACTATGCTTCCAGCAGGTGTAGCAAGAAACCCGCTGCACCTTCGGTGCGCCAAGACATGCCAGTCGAAATTGACATTCATGAACAAGTATAGCGCCACACTGCCATACTCGTCGGAATGTCGCGGCATGTCCTGCTGTGTTGCCAAAGCAGTCTTCAATCTGCCTTGCCCTTGCTTGAAGCCAAGGCTGGCGCGCAAGCAGTGTGAGATGCAGTTGTGTTTCATGATCACTGAACGGCAACAACATTTGAGAGCTGTTTTTTCCACTAGCAGCCTGAGTAAGTAAGTTTGAACAACCAAGGCAAGGAGCTCCAACAAATAGATCATTCGACAGCAACTGTTCAACTGCGGGTGCAGAGCTGGTTCTAGATGCAGTTTTGTCAACAATGTGGTGCGCATGGAGTTGCGGAAGCTTTATGTTGAAGAGGCGAAGGGCAATTCCTGCTGTCGCCAACGACAACACAACCGAAAAAACAAAGTCGTGCAGTGTTACCAGATGCCTGCATACCCTACTCGAAGAGCTGCACAGCCAACCCAGGGCGGGCCCTTGCTCATGGATTGACAAAGCATTGCGCTGCGTTTTTTTTCTGGCTGCAAAATGTGCGAAGAGACTGTTGCGGCAGCAATTCAAGTGAAACACTGGCAAGACTGCGTGGCCGCAGTTTGCGTCTAGCGATGCTCGAAGACTGTCTCCTTGGGCTGTCTGTGTCTAGCAAGGCTCGATATCTCTATCTTGTTGACACGGCCTTGCACCCCTGTCAGCTCGTCCAAGATATCCTTAAGCACTTCCTCGGGCGGGAGCGGCGGCGGACTCAGCCACGGCGGCGGCGGGGAGGTGCTGGTCCACGCCGAGGATGCCTGCGATGATGGCGGCAAGCGATCATACACGGCGCCCACCCAGTTAGTACACATCGGCGGTTCGCAATTTTCGGACCGAACTTTGAAGGCCTCATCCCTGGTGTAGCGCCAGCTGTGCTGCAGGCCAGCCTCAGCCTTTCCCTCCAGCAGGCACACGCAGCAAATCACCTCAAAGTTCCAACCGCAAACCATCACACCGCTGTCTTTGAAGGCCTTCTTCTTGAACAACGGGGTCTTGCATTTCCATCCGCAGACATCGCGCACGGCCTGCCAGTCAGAATTCCACGGCATTGTCTGACTGACAGCTGCGTTTCCGCAGATGTTCCACAGATGTTCCTTAACAGCTGCGGCGGGCAATTCAACCATCACGACATGAACACAGCATCCCTGACACATGTTTCAAACTGTTCACAGGCGCGCCCGAGCAAACACAGGCACGAATCGAAGACTGCAGCTCTACCACCATTAGCCTTGCGTAAGAGGGTCTTTTTCTTGTTCCGACCTTGCGCCCGAAACGTGTAAAGTCAAGACTAAGCTACTGTTGGAATTTGCAGAGGTGTTGGCCATTAACAAGAACCAACTGCGGGCACGCAGTTGGTTTTCGCGGCAGCAGCGCTGCGTGGAACTCCGGCAGTATAAACATGGGACATCTATCGCCGGCGCAATTCAGACTCTAACTTCTCCAGCTCCTGCGTGCTTTGCCACAATTTGTGATCGATGACCGTCGTAATTGCCGTCTGCCACATGCGGAGCGACATCCTGCGCATAGACTCAACCTGAAAAGTCTCTGCCCCTCTCAGAATCAATAAACAGCTGCTGCCTGCCATTGCGCGTGTTTTGGAACTCCTCGATGAGGTCCAGCGCCGAATCCAGATTGTGGTACTCCTGCCTCATCAGGATCTCAACAGCTACCGCCATCTGCAACTCTTCCTTTAGGTGTTCCATTGGCGTTTTCAATGCCTCGATCTTCCGTCGTGGAGCCCCAGCCTCGGTCATGGCGCGCAACGCAGGTGACTGTTCCATCATGGCTCCCCTAAAAAAAGGCCAGTTTGGACCAGAGCGCTGCAAAGTAAATTGCACAAAAAGCATCTCAAATTGACAAATATTGCCCCAGGTGCTATTTTTCTTGCCTGCAAACAAGCATGCGGCAGCAAACACATCGTTTCTCAGGCTGCAGCAGCCCCTCAAGCTCAGCCCAAACACTCACTGTGTTGCCGCAGTGTGTTCGTATGTGAACTCTCGAAGCACCGGCTGCAAGTCCTGTATCAGGACATGGACTGGCCAGAGTATGGCCAGAAACACACACTCTGCGTCGTGGCCAGCGGCAAGACCGCCCCACACATCCAGGGCCTCGTCATGGAGAGTGCGCAGCTCGTCAAGCTTAACCTTGTTCAGCTTCCCCTTCATCGGCCGCAGCATCTCGTACTCATCAAACATCCACAAGACGTCCTTGTAGCGCACATCAGTCACCGCTGTCTTGTGACAAAAAAAGTGTTCAAGCACAGTGCGTGTGGCGCAGCACTTGCTGATGATCTTGGAGTTCATCCGGTTGTCTTTGTACAGAGGGCCCAGAGAAAGGGATCTTGTCTGGTTGCCCGCAAGTGATTCGTTGGATGTCTTCCGCCAACTTGTATAGGCAATCCCCCCGCACAATGCCAGCTGAGCCCTCCTCCAAGTACCTGGATGCCATGGCTTCGCCAGCTTTGGTTACAAAGCTGGACATTTCAACAAGTTGAAGCCGAACCGAAGCTGAGCCAGTTGAACCGAATGGGCGGGCGGCGGGCGAAAACTCACTGAGCCGCACGCAACGCTGGCAGCAAAACAGACACGCTTTTCCTTGTGCTTTGTAAAACTCAGGAGTTGCCAAACTTCTCAGGCAAAGCAAAAACCTAAGCTGAGCCGGGCTCTCAGGGGAAAGGCAGTGTTTCCGCAGCCTTTTCTAGATGCAAGTTCAGTCAGAGTTCAAGGGTAAACAAGCTCACGCAAAGTCAAACAAGCATCGTCCAACAGCATCTCCAATGGTGTAAGAGGTCCGTCAATGTTGGCCAGTTCGTTCAAGAAGTGCAGAACCTGGGTCGACTCTTCCACAAAGGCCCGCTCTTCAGCAGTGACGCGTGGAAGTTGCGTTGGTCCTGGAGAGCCTGGAGAGCACAAATCCCGCACAAGAGGCTCCCTGGCCATATCATCAGAAGGCAATGGCGAAATCAGCGCGCGCTCCATACCAGCAAGAACGACTGCGAAAGGAAACATCGCGGCTCTTCGCCCAGTTCTTTCCATGATCAACCGCAGGACCCGGCTGCATTTCCTGACAATAATCTCGTCAATCTTCATTTCAATGACATGCAGCGCCACGCAATGCGCGAGCTCGTCAGCGTCAACCCCGTAAATGTCCATGGCAGCACGTGCGCCAAGTTTCACTACCAGCTGACATAGCAAAAACAACTCTCTGAGCCACCGGATTGTCCAAACATCAAGGCCCCCCTCCCTCCCCAAGATTTTCGGCAAAAAAACACTTCCGAAAAACAGATTGTTTTGACAAAGAACGCGCGCGCGAAAAAACAAGGTTTTCGGTCCAAAAAAAAGCACACAAAAAAAGGCATAAAAAGCATGTCCTTAATGACCGGCCAGATCAGGTCGAAGGCCAGATCAGACTGGACATCGAGCCTGTCGAGAAGACCCGTCGAGGCAGGGCTTCTGCAAGTCAACTTGACCATCGTCTGTGGATGCAACCGGCCAGCAGGATGCAACCGGCCAGCAGGTTGCATTTGTGACGAGTGTCACACTCAACTGCATTCGGTTGTTTCGTAATTCCAGTTTTTGAGGTCTTCCATTGCAAGGGATGGAAGTGACATGTGCCGCACTCAGCTGCATTCGGTTTGGACCAGATGTGTTTCAAAATGTTTCGTAATTTCAGTTTCTTCAGGTCTTCCATTGCAAGGGATTGATGTCACATGTGCCGCACTCAGCTGCATTCGGTTTGGACCAGATGTGTTACGCAGCAGGCGGGAGTAGGCGTGCGCCCAGGCCGAAGGCCGGGGTTGCGTCCAGGCCGAAGGCCACTTGTAGACTGCGTGTTTTCTTGTATTGTTTTAGCGAGCGGCGGGTAGTTTTTTAGCGCGGCTGCCCGAGAGTGACCAGCTCTGGTTGGCTGTGGCCATCGCAAGTGCCGGTGCAAGTGAAGCGGCAGTCGAAATCGAAAGACCGAGTCCACTGGTTTCCACCAAGGGCGGGGATCGCAGCTTTCGTGGAGTTGAGTGTCCGGCTTTTTGATTGCATGCGTGTACTGTGCCTGGCCCGCTCAGGTTCGAGCCCTGCCAGTTTGGCTGACTCGGCGTAGTTTTTGTCGGCCCGGCCATGAGGCCTGAGTGCGCGCCCATCTTATCCTTGGCTGACAGCACAGCGGTGGGCTTCGGTGACAAGTACGGCGTGCAGCTTGTGGATTCTTCGAGCAGGCGTCACTGTGTCGTCTGGTGCTGCGGTGGGTCTCTGGTGACCGGCTCCTGTTGTGCTGGCGAGACGCTTCCAAGCGTGGCCAAGCAGCTCGTGTGCGGCTGGAGGCAGATTGCCGCGCGCCTCGGATTCCCGGATGTGACAGATTTTCTAGCTCAGAGGCTGGTGGTGAGGCTTGTGGCGGCACGCGGAAGCGTGCCGGAAGGCACTGCGATCTATGGCGATGGCGTAGAATGGTTGCTGCAATGCTTCCACTTAGACCTCGCATGCCCGCTGAGAAGCAAGCCAATGCTGGCATGCAACAAAGCAGCCGCAGATGCCTGCGCCGAGGGCAGTGTCGTGGGCATGGGGGTTGGTTCATCACCAGCAGCTCCGTTTCTTGGTTCGCAGAAACTTGGCAATTCCAGGAAGTCCAAGAGCAGTGGCCGTGCCTCACCAAAGAAGCCCAGCGCTACATCGCATGCTTCGAAACCTTGGCTCAACTAGCACTCATGCGTATCGCATGGTCCTGCGAGGGACAAAGCGTGCATGGCATTTGCATGCCAACAGGGACAGATAACGCAGCCTCCGAGGCAGGCGTTAATAAACTGTTCACCACAGCATGGCCCTTGCAAGTCTTTGCAACTTGTAGCCGCCTGAGCCCATAAACACAAATGGTCCGTGATCGCGTCACACATCCCAGGAGAGCACAACATCTGGGCGGACCAACTCAGCAGAGGTAACACCTCCGCTTTCCAGAGTCGGCCGCGTGCCAGAGTGTGCTTCAGGCCGCATGATTTCTGGCCTCACGCATCAGCTCTCACGCTTCACCCGTGGAGACCCGAGCACGTGATTGCATCGCAAACGCACTAAAGAGGGGGTGAGGTGATTTGACCGTTTGCTTAGAACCCTAAAGTGGGGGCATTCCGACAGGCTCCGCATGAGATGCAGGAAGATGGAGTGGACGCGCATCGTCGCCCCACCTGCATCTCAGAGCCTGCGCTTCTAAGCAACGCTCAAGTAAAAAAGCGCGTGTCGAGTTTGCTTCGGTCGGATGCTTTTTTCCCTGCATGTCCCTGTAGGCTTGAAGCAGTGATCAAGATTCTAACGCTAGGGGTTTTTCTTTTCCCCTGTGTTTTAATCTTGGTTGAATCTTCGGCCGCGTGGCTGTTTCTGCTTCAAGCCCTTTAGTAAGGGACATGCCTTGAGGGTCTGACCCCTCTTTCGTTCTTTTTGAACCCACCCTCCCACCCTTTCACGGCCCAGGTGGAAACCAACTTCCACAAGGCCTGATTGCTGGGTTGCTGAACACGCATGGTTGCAAGCTTTCCCGCTTCCAACATTTTGTCGGCTTACTGCATCCCGCAGGACCCGTTTAGCCTGTGCAAAGAGGCCTGATAGCTGATTGCTGAACACGCGTTGTCGGCAAGCTTTCCAGCATCAAGCATGTGGTCGGCTTACTGATCCCGCAGGACCAGTTTAAGCCTATGCAGTGAGGACGCATTCCTCGTTGGCCACACCAGTTTGAACCCATGCTGTGCACGCAGTCGCACATCGCTGAATGCCATCGGCATTCTGTCGGACCAGCCTGGTCCCCTTCAGGAAGACGCATTCCTCCCATGCACACCTATGCACGCATTGCATACCGATGTGCAAAAAACCTCCTATTTGTCTCACACCCCATGGGTAAAACACCCTGTGTGATGGTCGAACACGCAATGTTGACCACAGGGGGCATTCCGACAGGCTCCGCATGAGATGCAGGAAGATGGAGTGGACGCGCATCGTCGCCCCACCTGCATCTCAGAGCCTGCACTTCTAAGCAACGCTCAAGTAAAAAAGCGCGTGTCGAGTTTGCTTCGGTCGGATGCTTTTTTCCCTGCATGTCCCTGTAGGCTTGAAGCAGTGATCAAGATTCTAACCTTGTAGTTTCACGGGGGGTCAACGCACCTCCTGCTCCAGGCGCGCCCGGGGGTCAACGCACCTCCTGCTCCAGGCGCACCCGTGCCCTGGAAGCAGTGCTACTTTCAGCAATCCCGGTAAAAAGAACTGCGGCCGCTTCGGACTTGCATTGTTCTTTTGGGTGGTCTTGTTTGGGTTCAAGCTAGGAGCAGTGCAACATGCCTTAACGCATGGTGACAGCACAAAGTCGCCTTTTCTCCGCAGCTTTCTGCTACCTTGTGCCACCTCTTGGTCCGGACCCTTTTGTTTGCATTTGTTTTAGTGTTTGTTTTTCTCCCCCTTTTTTCTGGCTTGTTTGGACCCGCCGCTGGGGCTGTGGTGTTTGTTGGTGTGTCTGAATTGTACGTTGCGGACCGCCGTTATCTACAGTGTAGCGAGGTTTAAGTTCGAACCTGTCGAACAAAGTCTGAGGGTTTGGAGTTCGAGGGTGTCGCGGTTGATGGATGCAGCTTCAAGGAGTGGATATCCAAAGCCAAACCGGGCCTTTTTGGGTGCTGAGCGGCCCTTGACAGAGCAGTGCGCCTTGGTCAACCAAAGCAGTTTGGGTTTCTCCTTGAGTTTCAAACGCAGCTCGCCGCCTGAAGTGACCCTTGGCCAGCGATGCTCCATTGTGCGCAGCGAAGGAATAATCTGATTCCCAGTATCAAGGAATGCGAAAACGTGTTTTTTTTACTATTGCGTGTTGACCTGTCATGTCGTCCGGCCCTTGTTTGGGCCTGTTGGCCTATGTCGGCCGCTCCGATCGCAGGGTTGCATGGCCCGGTGCCGTGCGGGCTACAAGAGGTTCGTCGGTGCATGGCGAACATTAACGTATAGTGAGGCACTGGCCTAGCCCTTGCCCTCTGCTATTGCTATGCGCGCCTTTGCCACTTGTTGTGATTGACAAACAACATTCATCCTTCTGCGCTTTGTCGAAGGCGGCAGACATTGGAAGATTCACTCGTAGTGAGCTGCGGCCGCCAGGATGCGACCAAGGGCTGATGATCGGACCGGAGGGCACTGCGACTGGGCAGCCAGGACAGGAGAAAGCAGACTGTTTTGCTCGTGGCTGATGACTCGATTGCAGCTCATTGACTTCTGTCTTCCCATATCCCACGTGGCATCGAACGACTCAACTACCATTCTGATGGCCAATGACCTTATGCCACACCGCCATTTTCTTTTGGGATCATTCTCGCTTCCATTGCACGACGGCCACGTCTTCGCTGGCCAAGACTGCGGCCCGATTTCCTTTCTGGTTCTATGATGCGATATGCACTCATCAGCTCACTCAATGACTACGCGATATTTTTTGGCATCCCAAGAAACCCATCGCCAGCTCGAGCTGAAGACGCCACTTCCAAGCTCACGATTGTAGAGCCATCTACAAGCGCTACGCTGCCTTCATGCAGCCCGTCTTCGCAGTCTAGGGCAGTTCCAGCAGTTTATCTCCGACTCAAGCTGCCTGAACGACTTCTTGGGCTTCCGCTATCGCGAATGGCACCATCGCCGCCGACATCGCCGCCAATGAAGCCCATGCAGTGTTATCTCCATTTTCGATGCGATTCAACACTTCGACGAGACGAGCTTTGATTCGTCAGATTACGAGCTTTGATTCGTCAGATTTGGCTTCCACAATAGACTCATGACGCAATATCATGACAAGGCTTTTCGAGCGATCGTGCACAGATGTGTTGGGAGCAAAAATGCATCCAGTGGGTGTTTGCGCAGTGAGCATTGCCAGCCGACAAGCACAGGTTTGAGAGTGGCAAATGCCCATTTCCAACCAATGTGTCGTAAAGGATTCACATGCAAACATGAAACACAAGATCAACGAAACAAAAACAAGAACACGTCCGCGATGCAATTACTCAAATTGACAGCCAAGCGATCCAAACCACCAAGGGAAGGGGACACGATGTCCCGTTCTCAGGAGTCTCAAGGGGCCCGGGGTTTGATCTCGAAAGGTGACCCATTTCAAGGGACTCAGAAGTCCACTCACGATGCTCGTGGAAAAGGTGCAAGACCGGAGCCTGAAAGATTAGCTTCAGAAATGGTCGGTGTTGTTGCCCCTTCAACCAAACCCAAAAATGGGTACCATCAAAAACACGTGCGCAGACCATACACAGCCATAGTTGGTGGGGCAGAGGCGAATAATTTTCATGCGCATGGTTTCGGTCATATTGACATGGATGATGCATCAATCATTGGTCATGTTGTTTTGCATGGTTCAAGCCTTAGTTTTATCCCAATTCAGTGTTTCAGATTGGCCAGGCCAGGGTGTGTTAGTTGCACTTGGCACTTGGCGCCCTTGGCTTGGCAGGCTCAATGGCACAGCCTCTCTCATTGTCTCGCATCACCCTCTACAAGAACAACCTTGCGTTTGCAGAGCGGCAAGGACTCTTGCAGGGACTATCAGGCACATGCGGCACACGCCTTGCGGGTTGTCGCAAGTGACAGAAGTGACTTTTGAGTGGGCAGACTGGGCAGACTTGAGCCAGGCTGGGCAGACTTTGAATTGCGGGTGCCGGAGTCCAGGCGCAAGTTGGCTGCACCCTCAGCCGGTCAGCCGGTCAGCCGGTCAGCCGGTCAGCCGTGAAAGCTGAGGTGGTGAACACCTTGTCTGCTTCGGCACCTGGTGGAGCATCCATCATATTTGGCAAAGCAAACGGCACTGGCGTTGTTCAGAAGAACGAGGCGTTCCCGTTCGAGCACAGCAGCATGGGAGCTTTCCTGCAGTCCTGTCGCGGTGCGAAGATTTCCGTCACCTTGCATGAAAAGGGCCCGTCACGGACAGGCACACTGCTGATGGTCGAGAAAGCGCGGCGAGTGCTCGAAGGCTCCAAAGATCAGACGGAGGAGTACTTCTCCATGCTGCAGCTCTTTGAGGAACACGGATCCATTCGAAAGATCCCTTTCCGGGACGTGGCGGAGGTGTCTTTGGTCGATCCGCTGATGCAAGAGCAGCTGGGCAAGTGCCTGGAAGCCGCCCTGGCCAGCCAGATGCCAAAGCCGTTGCCGCCGCCCAAAGACAGCCGAGAAGTGATCTCAATCCGCGCCAAAGCCTCGGAATTGGCCCCGGACGAGTGTCGGGTGTCCTATGTCGAAGCTTGGTGTCCTCAAAGACCGGTTCGGAGTTCGGAGGAAGCTCTTGAGCGAGGTCCAACGTGATCATTGAGTGAGATGCATCACGATCCGCCTTTTCCACGTCCAAGACTAATGCTTTGCCCTGTTTTCTTCTTCCTTTCTTTTGCCTAATGCTCCAGTGTAGTTTGCTCCTTGGTCTGAGGATGCACTGCCAATACTGATATGGAATTGGACCAGCAACGACACCTGCGGAGCAGAAACAAAGGACCAGACACCAACACAAACACACAAGCATACCTACCCTACCCTAGCATGCCATGCTATACATCCATACATCCATACATCAGTACATCCATACATCCATACATCCATACATCCCTACATCCGTCCATCCATCCATCCATCCATCCATTCATTCATTCATTCATTCATTCATTCATTCATTCATTCATTCATTCATTCATTCATTCATTCATTCATTCATTCATTCATTCATTCATTCATTCATTCATTCATTCATTCATTCATTCATTCATTCATTCATTCATTCATTCATTCATTCATTCATTCATTCATTCATTCATTCATTCATTCATTCATTCATTCATTCATTCATTCATTCATTCATTCATTCATTCATTCATTCATTCATTCATTCATTCATTCATTCATTCATTCATTCATTCATTCATTCATTCATTCATTCATTCATTCATTCATTCATTCATTCATTCATTCATTCATTCATTCATTCATTCATTCATTGATTCATTCATTCATTCATTCATTCATTCATTCATTCATTCATTCATTCATTCATTCATTCATTCATTCATTCATTCATTCATTCATTCATTCATTCATTCATTCATTCATTCATTCATTCATTCATTCATTCATTCATTCATTCATTCATTCATTCATTCATTCATTCATTCATTCATTCATTCATTCATTCATTCATTCATTCATTCATTCATTCATTCATTCATTCATTCATTCATTCATTCATTCATTCATTCATTCATTCATTCATTCATTCATTCATTCATTCATTCATTCATTCATTCATTCATTCATTCATTCTTTGTTAATGTTGAAACGCATGTGGAAACATGAACTGTGTTTGAAATGCTTGACCACAATGGCCCCGGCCATTTTGGCTCAAGCTTTGCTCTTGGGTTCTCTGAACCCAACTTGTGTGAAAAATTTGAGGGGAAGCACTTCCGAACTAACCCCGAACCAGCAATGGCCTCCTCGGCGACTTCGGCAACTTCCTTCGAGTTGATTGAGGACCAGGCACTCACCGCGGAGGAGGTGGAAATGGCCAGCCAGGAGGCCCAGGAAGCGAGGCGGCTGTGGCGGCCGGCCTGGTGTTGGATGAGCCCGAGGCGCCCCCGTCGGCATCGGCCACCGATGTGATGAACGACCTCTCCAGTGCACTGGAGCGGCTCCGTGTGGCCTTCTCCACACCGACTCCCGGCCTGGGTGGCCTTTGGCCCCGCCGAGGACGAGGACAAGGAGATGGGCGATGAGGTCACCACGGAGCGGGCTACTCCACCAACGAAGAGGCTGAAGGGCTTCGTGGCGGCCTCCCAGAAGACCACGGCCCGGTGAACAAACCGGTCTCCCTGGTGCCGGTGGATGGCCGTCCTGGCTATTTCAAGCTAGTGGACCTCCCAGACCTCTTCCCGGTCCTTCCGGCATCGGCGGCCACGTTGCTGAGGGACGTCACGGTGGAGGAGGCGGTCTCCCTGTTCCACAAGTTTGTCGGTAAGAATCTCACGGAGGACTTGGTGGTTCGCATCCTGGAGGCCTATGTTCCGATGAAGATCCAGATCCGGCAGGAGGAGGTCTGGGCCTCACAGTTCCAGCGGAATAACAGCGGATGCACAGACTCGATGCCGGCCACTCGGACTACAAATTCATGTGTAAGGCATGCGGCACGGGGTGGCCGGAGGCAGCCAATCAATGCTGGGTCTGCCTGGGCAAGGAGTTTGTCCCCTTCCAGGCACCCTCGGCTACCTACGAGGCGGACGGCGTCACGTACAACCTGCTCATTGTGGAGGGCAAGCCGACCTGGATCCAGCAGCGGGATGGGGGAAGCCTGGGTGCCGCTGGCCCCGGTGGTACCCGGGCACAGGCAGACCGCAACCTGGTGGACGGCACGATCCTGGGGAGAGCTCCTCCGAAAACGGACACGGCAGAGGAGATCACCATGGCTGACGTGGTCCCGCTTAACAGGCGGGTGGACATCCGGCAGGAGATCCTGTCCGAGGCGGACGATGAGGCGCTGAAGGTCCGGGAGCGCCAGGAGGTCAAGGTCAAGGTGCAGCGGTCCCTGCAGAAGGCAGAGGCTCAGAGCTTCCAGCTCTACCACCCCCAGGTGGACCAGGCGATCGGAAGAAGGAAGAGCTGCACAAGGCCTTGAGGGAGCACCGGGAACCGACTCCGGAGGAGTCCTCGGCCAGGCAGCGGCACAAGGAGTTGGTCACGGACGAGATGCTGGACAATGGCAATCCTGGCGCCTCTCCAGGAGGGCATGCAGGCCCTGCCGGCAGAGGAGGTGGCCCACGAGGGAGCCCGGGCCCTCAGGAAGGTCAACCTGGAGCGATTCAAGGCCAAGCTGCGAGACCAGTACCTGGAGATTAAGGGTGTCGACGCCAGCCAGGCACTGGCTGATGCGATGGGTATGCTTAACCACACCCTCCAGCCCTTGCAGGCTCTGGAGAGGGGGCTGTTCTGCCCCCTGGAGCTGGATGACCCCCCAACGTGGGGGACATCAAGGAGAAGTACGTCCCCTACATCCGGAGCTCAGAGAGGCACAGAACCCGTGGAACCAGGAGGCGTTGCTGGAGGAGATGCCCGATCTGGCGACACCGGCCCCCTCCAAGGGTGCCACTGTGGGGGGGACCAGCCAATGCCACCGCAGGACCTGGACTCGGAGGAGGGTAAGCTGTCCCTGCTCCTCTGGGCGATGAAGAGGCACCAAGGGGAGCTACGGATGTTTGGGGGGATCTGGAAGAAGCACTCCAGCGGTGAGATCTCCAAGGGCGCGGACCAGCAATTCAAGCTCTCGCCGGAGGAGCTCCTGGCCCTGGAGCGCAGGACCCACCCACTCACGTGTGAGCGGGACCACATCGACCCGATCATCTACTCGGCCTTGGAGATCCGAGCGCAAGCAGGTGGTGGGGATCTTCTGGGCCAAGGGCGATGGCGTGTTTTGGACAAGGCAGACTCGCACGTGGGACCTGCCGAGCGACGGGGGTGTACGCCCACCGATTCACCTTCAAGTACATCTACACGGCTTGGATCACATTCCCGCGGGTCGTGAAGACGCAGCGACGGGGCCGCAATGCGGAGGGCTCGGCTTCGGACAAGTGGATGGGGAACATCCTCCAGATGCGGAAGGAGGCGGTCCCCTTCCTGGAGAGCCTGGGAATCCCCAAGCCGCGCACCAAGGCGGAATGGAGCTACATCTTTAAGGAGATGGGGACGTTTCTGGCAGCCAAGAACTTCATCGTCAATTGCCCATTGCCGGTGATGGAGCTCCCAGTGGCCCCCGTCCACGACAGCAAGGACGCCCTGCGTTTCAGGGCGGTCTGTGACGAGCGAATCACTCTCCCGCTGTCATCGTTGAGGGCTTTCGTCGGTGTACACCAAACTGGTGGCAGGCCTGAGTAAGTCCTCCATGGTGGAGATCAAGGTCAACTGGCGTTGCAACTGGGTGGAGCCGGTCCCGCAGGAGGCGGCGGGGGCCCTGTACGACCGGCTGGGCTACTCCCAGGACCTGATCAGGCAGCTGGGCTGCTCTTTTTTTGTTGGGTGCCTCTGGCCCCGAAAGCGGGGCGGCCAAGGAATCGGACCCCAAGGCCAAGATTCTGGCGGGAGCGGACACCACGCTCCGCACGCCGGACCAGGGCACCAGGCGGCACCCCCCGATCACCACGTCCACGGTCACGGCGGTCGCGGGCAAGAAGTACATCAACAAGCACTTCCCGAAGGAAACCAAGCACGTGTTCTGGGCCTGGGTGGAGTGCGGCCTGGTCCTGCCCAGCATCAGCGCATGGGAAGTGGTGGGCAAGGAGAAGTTCAAGACCACCGGGGGCTACATGTGCAGGTTCTGCAAGGGCTTCTGGAAGGCGAGCCGTGGGGGGACCAGGCTGCTCCAGATTACGGGGTGGCACAAGGACAAGGCCACATGCCTGCAGCTGGTGATGGACGAGCCCCCGGAGCAGCTATATAATCAGTGGATCCGGGACAGGATGGAGTTATACAAGCGGGTGGAGCCGACGGAGCCCCCCAGGGACGAGCGGCTAGTCCTTGGAGATGCGAGCACCCCGCGCATGCGCTTCAGCTCCTCGAACGGCCTGGGGGATGTCTCCACTGCCCTGTGGTCGGTCATCCTGAGCAACCCGGAGAAGTCAGGGCTGGCGGCCATCCACTCGGTGGCAAAGGAGGCGATCTTGAAGGGTGAGAGCCGCTAGGTCGTGTCTCACTACCCTTTTGGATGTGGCGTCGTATGTTCTCTCCCCACCGGGACTTGGGTGTGCCTCTGGCCCCGTCTTGGGTGGGGGGAGGTGTTGGGGTGTTTCCCTTGTTTTGGGTTCTTCGTTCACCTTGGTTTCCCCCCCTGTTCAACACGCCGCGACTGCCGGCTGCCTCGAACCGGAGGCTGCGCAATTTGGCTGCCCCAAGGACGGGCCGTATCGGCCACTGTTTGAAGAAAGTGGCTGCGGCTGACGCTGGGCTCCCTGTGGTCCCCTTGGGGGTTTTGGGGAATCCCCCGTCGGGTGGGTCTTCCCCCCTCCGTGGCTCTTTTGGGGATTTCCGGGGGGGACTCTTAGGTCTTGTTGGGCGGCATGTCGCCTGCCTGCCCCACTCGCACTCGGCTTCCGGAAGGGTTGGTCGTGTTTGCAGGTTGCCGCGGTTGGGTCCCGTTCGACAGGAGGCTCGAACCCTTGTTTTCAGCATGGCTGGGGTCTCTACCTCAACCAGCTCGCCGATGAGGAGGTCAC